ATCCCGCACACTGCTAAACCCTGACCCTGATTTAATAAAACATACTTGTTGAGGTTTGCATAATGTGGCTGTACCTATTCAAATAATTTGCCTTGACCTAATGACATGGCTGGTAAGACAACCTATGGCTGGGTTTTCGCATCATTAGGAACGACACAAATAACACAATTGGCATGTATTTTGCATGACTCCAGTGTTCTCAACTGTGGGAACCATCCAATGCAATGTCTATGGAGATTCTCCATCATCCACGTTCTGGTTGTCCCAAAGGTGCTTTTTTCCAAAGATTGCCTCTTTGGACTTTCTGGTTTTTCTTTGAAGACTTTCTGGTTTTTCTTTGAAGAATTTTCACTTCTCATCCGAGAAGCTTCTTCCGCTCTGACTAGATGATGATGGGGAATGGAAGGATTGATGCTCCTTGCAGACATTCTTCCATTCCCCACCATCCAGTCAGAGCGGAAGAAGCTTCTTGGATGAGAAGCGAAACGTCTTCAAGGAAAAACCAGAAAGTCCAGTTGAGCACCTTTGGGACAGCCAATGCAATGAATATCCTCCTTTCTCAGCTGAGAAGAGATAGGAAGTTACATGCTCATTATTCCAATATTTTAAAATGTTTGGGGGCAGATTCACAAAGCAGTCATTGGTTTTATGGCTCTTCCCATACAATACACTGGGCTGAAATGCGTTGTGCAAAGCGGGTTCCATAAGCCGTGAGGTTAGCACATTCTGTGAACGCAACCATCAAATTACCGGGGCTCACATATTCAGTCACATGGACCATTGGCCAGGATTATTTAAATAAATCATGAGTTGCCTTCATCTTGCGGGACAAGAGGAAGCAACATAAAACACCTTGCCCATAAATAACATGTCAAATTTATTTTTACATGTTTATTTTGCAGCTCTCAAAACCATATCCAACCACATCTCTGACTTGCAGAAAAGCAATGACATAGTTTCCTCACACACATGAACACACACACACACACACACACATAAGGATAGTCTCTCTCTCTCTCTCTCTCTCTCTCTCTCTGTGTGTGTGTGTACGCACCTCTCATTTCTCCAGCTCCAAATATCTATACTGACTAAAAATCCTAATACCCCCTTCAAAAATATATTGCCTTGCCCTCACCATACTGGTCCGTTTCATTCATCCCTTCCACTGGAAACAAGTATAGCCTCTTCTTTAATTATTATTTTTATTTGTTTGACTCTATTAGCTGCCCAATTCCCATGGACTCTATACACCAATGAATCCTTCCTTCAGCCTGTTACAGAATGTCGATAACAGGCAACAGGTTGACCCAGAGAGTTAGTTGTGGTGGCTGAGAAGACATTTAAACCTAATTAAATTAAAACATAATTATGTAGTCTCTGTGCTCTATGTAGTCTTTTAGCTCTAGATGGAATGTGATCCTGGGCAGCATCTGGGAGAACTAAAAACACTTATCTCTGGCACGATTGCTGTTTCACCAGCCTGTCCAAAGATATTATCTACGCAGAAGAAAAAAGGAACTGAAATTGAACATCCTTTCTGTAACTGAAATATTTGAAGCTTCCCTATCTCTTTTAGATGAATTTATATGACTTCCTCTTTCATGTAGGAATGTCAATTTGTTACTATCACTTTCTATCTCCAAAAAATTCAAAAAAAAGTCCATGTTCCAATCTTCACCAGGTCCATAATAAAGGATGATAGATGCTTCCAAATTGTTATGTGTTGTGTTGCAAGGTTCAACTTGTTCTCAGGATAAGCAACCCCAAAATGTTACCGAGTTGCTTGCTTGGTAAAGGAGGGCCTGAAAAAGCTTATGGCTTCCAAGTTTTCTTCCAAACTGACAGTGACTAGCAAAGTTGGGCTGGTTTACATGATACACTTGAAATATCCATTCATATTTTAATCATAAAATGTATCTAAACCTATCCCAGGAAATCAGTTTATATAAAACTGTGGGAATTTTTCCATCCACCCATTCTTTCCCTCGCCTTTCAATAAACATTCTAAGAAGGTACACAAATTATTCTATTTGTACTAGGGTGGGCTTTTAAAAAAATCTAAATTAAAGTCTGCTCAATTATGAAAAAGTACTTTGCTTTTGTAATATTTATGCCTAGCTTCATTTTTCTAGTCCAACTAAACTGTCTGTCTTTGGTACATTAATTTTCAGGTTTGCACCACTCATTGCACATGCAAACCATCACTGCAAAGTATTTAAATTCTCAGCCACTAACATGTCTTAGTCTGTATAAAAGCACACACATATCTGTCTAAAAGTATGCACACATTTATATACCTGAACAACATATCTCCAATATCACCACAAGCATTTCTCGTAATGTTTATCCATAAATATATTAAACAATCAATGAACACCATATTCTTCCATTCAATTTTAAGACAACTATTGAACTATCTGCCAACCATTGTGCTCACATATTTTATTTCTTAATATTCCACTTTTACCACATTCAGAAGCCCAGCCATTCATTCTATATTAATGCATAGGATGTCCATTCAACTCTTATTACATGCTTTCTCCAAACCCACAAACATACAAAAGATATTTTTTCTCGCATTCATACATTTCCTAATAGCTATGTAGTTAAAGAGCAAACATTCCTTCCTTCCTGCTTCAAACGCTCTACTATCATCCCAGTGCCAGAGAAGCTTTTCATCAAGGAACTGAATGACTACAGACTAGTTGCTCTAACATCTGTAGTTATGAAAATCTTTGAAAGGCTTGTGCTGTCCCACCTGAAAACCATCACGGATCCGCTGTTAGATCCCATGCAGTTTGCATACTGAGCAAATAGATCAACAGATGATGCTGTTAACATGGCTCTGCATTACATCCTACAACACCTTGAATCTCCCAATACCTACGCAAGGGTCCTCTTTGTAGACTTCAGTCCAGCATTCAATACCATCATTCCAGACACTCTTCTAAATAAATTAAACCAACTAGTGGTACCTGAACACACTTATAAGTGGATCATAAGCTTTCCAACAGACAGGAAGCAGCAGATGAAGCTAGGCAGAATCACATCCAATACCTGTACGATCAGCACAGGGCCCCCCCAAGGCTGTGTGCTATCTCTACTTCTCTTCTCCCTATATACCAATGACTGCATCTCAAACGATCCATTTGTTAAAATACTGAAGTTTGCTGATGACACAACAGTGATTGGTCTCATTCGAGACAATGATGAATCCGCATACAGACAGGGTTATACAACTTGCCCCGTGGTGTAACCAGAACAATCTGGAACTGAACACACTCAAAAACACACTCACACTCACTGTAGAAATGGTGGTAGACTTTAGAAGAAACCCTCCCATACAACCACCTCTTACAATACTAGACAACATCTTATCAACAGTAGAGACCTTCAAATTTCTAGGTTCTACTATATCACATGACCTAAAATGGACACCTAACATCAAAAAAGCACAACAAAGAATGTTCTTTCTGCACCAACTAAGAAAGCTCAAACTGCCCAAGGAGCTGCTGATCCAGTTCTACAGAGAAATCATTGAGTCTATCATCTGCACCTCTATAACTGCCTGGTTTGGTTCTGCAACCCAACAGGACAGACACAGACTTCAGAGAGTAACTAGGACTGCAGAAAATACAATTACAACCAACCTGCCTTCAGTCAAGGATCTGTATACTGCAGGAGTCAAAAAGGGGGATGTGAAAATATTTACAGACCCCTCACATCCCGGACATAAACTATTTCAACTACTTCCCTCAAAACGACGCTATAGGGCACTGCACACCAGAACAACTAGACACAAGAACAGTTTTTTCCTGAAAGCCATCACTCTGCTAAATAAATAATTCCCTCAACCCTGTTCAACTATTACAAAGTCTGCACTACTGTTACTGTTAATCTTGTCATCACTCCTTATCACCCACCCCTCCCACTTGTGACTGTATGACTGTAACTTTGTCGCTTGTATACTTACGATTTATATTGACTGTTTCCTAGTATGATTTGATTGCTTATTGTACCCTATGACTATCATTAAGTGTTGTATCTGATGATTCTTGACTCCTGACGAATGTATCTTTTCTTTTATGTATACTGAGAGTATTTACACCAAGACAAATTCCTTGTGTGTCCAATCACAGTTGGCCAATAAAGAATTCTATCTATCTATCTATCTATCTATCTATCTATCTATCTATCTATCT